AACCGCACTCTCCGCAATCAAACCAAGCGATGACCGCAAAGCGATTCTTCTCGCGACCGCGCGCGTTCTCGTCGCTGACCGCCACGGAGAGTCTCATTCCGTTCGCGTCTTAATCGACCAGGGATCCGAGGTATCCATCATCACCGAATCGCTGGCGCAACGCCTACGCCTCCCGCGAAATCACTCTTCAGTGACGATCTTCGGGATCGGCGGATCGCTGTCCGGCGCATCGCGTGGAAAGGTAGCGCTCAAAGTCACGTCAAGAGTGACCGGAGAGACGTGCTCCGTTGTCGCCTTTGTACTTCCGCGCCTCTCCTCGTATCGAAGTTCTACACCGCAAAAACGCAAAGGATGGCCTCATCTCCAGGGACTGCCGTTAGCCGCCCCGGAATTCATGGCCCCCGACCCCGTCTAGCTGCCTCTCGGAGCAGAGATCTGCTCGTCAATCTTCAAGGATGGAATCCGCAAGGGTGGACCGCAAGCTCCCATGGCACAGAATACCATCTTAGGATGGATTCTGTCGGGAAGATGCAGCGTTGCGACGCTGCATGGTCACCTTAACTCACTCCAGTGCACCGCAGACCACGACCTCACAACGATGGTCCGCCGCTTTGAGCAAGAGGACTCACTCCAGTGCACCGCAGACCACGACCTCACAACGATGGTCCGCCGCTTTTGGGAGCAAGAGGAAGTGCCGCTCGCTCCCACCGCTCTCGCACCCGAGGAAGAAAGGTGCGAGAATTTCTTCGTGCAAACGCACACACGCACGAGTGATGGACGGTACGTCGTTCGGCTGCCGTTCGCCACTACCCCAGGGCACCTCGAAGAAACTCGCAAGCCAGCCGAGAGACTGCTGACCGCAATGGAGCGGAAAGGCAGAAGGGACTCTCGATTCGGCGACCTCTACCGCTCGTTCATGCTGGAGTATGAGCAACTGAAACACATGAGCGAAATTAATGAGGGGTCGACCGCAAATGACACGGAACAAAGGATCTGCTACTTACCACATCACGGAGTGCTGCGTGAATCGAGTATCACTACCAAACTTCGTGTTGTATTCAACGGGTCGCAGCGCATCCAGTCAGGAGAATCGCTAAACACGCAGCTCCTCGTAGGTGCTAATCTCCTTCCCGCGCTCGCCGATGTCCTCCTCCGCTGGCGGTGGCATCGGTACGTTATCGTGGCAGACATCGAGAAGATGTACCGCCAAATTCTCGTGCACCCCGACGACCGTAACTTTCAGCGCGTGCTCTGGCGTCGCGACAACACCCGTGAGGCACGCGAATACCGACTGAACATCGTAACATACGGTCTCGCGTGTGCGCCTTTCTTAGCGATTTGAACTCTGCGCCAGCTCGCCGAAGAATCTCGCTTTCCTCTCGGTGCCGCCGCGCTTCGACGTGACTGTTACGTCGACGACATCGTTTCAGGCGCCAACACGCTGTCAGAGGCAGCTATACTGCAGCTTCGCGAACTTTGCATGGCGGGCAGGTTTCCGCTGCGAAAATGGGCCTCCAATTGCGAAGAGACCCTAACCGGAGTCCCACAGGAGCACCGGCTCCTCAAGGCTCAGCACACCTGGGAGGATGAGCTTCATTCCACTCTGGGCCTCCGATGACATTCGCGCAACGACCATTTCGCGTTCGCGATCCAACCCAGCACGATGACCGAATACACGAAGAGGCGAGTCCTAGCAGAGACAGCGCGTCTCTTCGATCCGCTGGACTGGCTGGCTCCAGTAATTATCCGCGCGAAGATCCTAATCCAATCCGGCTGGCTACAAGGACTGGATTGGGATGCTCCGCTTCCACCAGTCGATACCAAGCAATGGCGGCTCCTTCTCGAGGAGCTTCCGCAACCCGAACACATACGGATTCACCGCTGGCTTCGCACGGGAGAGGAAGCCTCAACCCTCCAAATACACGGTTTCGCGGATGCCTCTGAAAGAGGCTACGCAGCCGCCGTGTATCTCCGCACCGTGACCGATGGCACCGCGACGATTCACCTCCTAGCTGCAAAAAGCAAAGTTGCTCCAATTAAGCAAATTTTGCTACCGCGCCTCGAACTTTGCGCTGCATTTTTATTAATGACGCTTACTTACCATCTTCGCATTGTATTTTGCAGCGCCAATATTTCTATGGTCCGACTCCAAGGTCACCTTCTATTGCATCCAAGGATACGCCTCAAGGTGGAAAACGTACGTGGCCAACCGAGTTGCCCAGATCCATACGCTGCTTCCGAAGACCCAGTGGAGACACGTACCTGGACGAGAAAATCCAGCCAACTGTGCGTCAAGAGGAATAGCTCCCAGCGAGCTAGCGCATCATCAACTGTGGTGGACTGGTCCCGCCTGGCTTCGGAAGGACGAACTCTGCTGGCCGGAAAGGAACCTGGAGGCTCCCAAGGGCGAAATGCCCGAGAAGAAAGCGACCACGCACCACGCCGCTGCCGACGTGGAAACTGAGCCTAAAACTTTACTCAGATGTTCCTCGCTGCACCGGCTTCTCAGGGTGACAGCGTGGTGCCTTCGATGGCGACGCTCAACCGCTCGCGAGCGACTTCTCAGCGACGCTACACCAGAGCCGGTTCTCAAACCGGCCGAGTTAGATGAAGCGCTGCATCGATGGCTCCGCGTGGTGCAAACATTGCACTACGCCGACGAAATCGCCGCTATAAGCGCCAACGGCATCGTCGCCCATCGCAGCCCTCTATCAAAGCTGAATCCATTCATGGATCACAACGGCGTTCTGAGAGTCGGAGGGAGACTAAAGCACGCCATCCTGTCAAACGACGAACGACACCCGATGATCGCCCCATCGACTTCCTGGCTAACTCGACTTCTAGTGGACTCGTGCCATCAGAGAACGCTACACGGCGGAGTACAGCTCACACTGGGCTTCATCAACGCTACTGGATTCCGCGAGGACGGGCCGTCGTCAAGAAATTGCTTTACCGATGCGTAACGTGCACCCGATGGCGAGCCACCGCACCGCAACCACAGATGGGCAATCTTCCTCGCGGGCGAGTCACTTCTGGACGCCCGTTCCTCCGCACCGGCGTGGACTACGCCGGTCCGTTCCAAATCCGGACCCCTAAATGGGTGAGGACATCGAGCGTACAAAGGCTTCATCGCCGTTTTCGTGTGCCTTTGCACAAAAGCCGTGCACTTGTAGTTGGCCTCGGACTATACAACCGAAGCCTTCTTAGCCGTCTTCCGCCGATTCACGTCACGTCGCGGTCTGTGCACAGACTTATACTCGGACTGTGGCACCAACTTCATTGGAGCAGACCGAGAATTAAGAAAATTCTTCCAAGCTTCATCGTCCGACGGCCGTCGCATCGCGCACATCACAGACTCATACGGAGTGCGGTGGCACTTCAACCCACCCGCCGCGTCGCACTTCGGGGGGCTCTGGGAAGCGGCCGTCAAATCCACAAAACACCACTTGAGACGAGTCATCGGGGAAGCCACGCCGACGTTTGAAGAGTTCAGCACCTTCCTCACGCAAGTGGAGGCCTGCCTAAATTCAAGGCCACTCCACGCTTTATCCGACGATCCCGACGACTTAACCGCACTTACACCAGGACACTTCTTCATCGGCGTCCCGCTTCTCGCTGTACCGGACCCGTCGCGAACCGAACAAAGGGAAGCTCACTTAACGCGATGGCAACTGGTACAATAAATGAGGGATCATTTCTGGCAAAGATGGTCCCGAGAATACTTACACGGGTTTACCTCTCGACCAAAGTGGCTGGTACCCAAGGCGGCTCCCAACATCGGCACGCTTTGTTTACTCCGCTCAGAGACAACCCCGCCGAGCCGATGGCCCCTTGCCCGCATCATCAAGCTGCACCCCGGAGACGACGACGTCGTGCGCGTGGTGACCATCCGGACACCTACCACAGAGCTCATCCGACCACTCACCAAGCTCGTGTTGCTTCCCAGCGTCACCGAGACGTCGCCGCCGACACCGAAAGAGTGAAATTTAAAAAAATAAAAACTCTTGTATATACTAGTTGTAAGGAATAAATGTACAATAGAATTTAATCCGACGGGCCGCGCCGCGTTCACTTTCACAAGTCGTAATATTTGTCTCGATGCGTCGATATTCTTATGCCTTCACGTCAATTTTCTCTTTTCCTCCTCGCTGCCACGCACTCTCTCTCTCTCTCTCTCTCTCTCTCTCTCTCTCTCTCTCTCTCTCTCTCTCTCTCTCTCTCACCGCACTTTAAAAATCGTCAATTTCACAACCGCACGCACGAATGCATGGCCTTCTGCCAATACATTTTTAATTTCGCCTGTTCACTTATATAATTTTCTCACTGTGAATTATCCACTCATCACATGAACTCAATAACACCGCACTCGTGCGTAAACGTACGCGACGCGATATGCAACTTCACTCTGAATGAGCGCTTCTCCCCGCACTCCCGCTCGCCACCCCGCTTCACTCGATCACACATTCCAGATCGAACGCGCTAATCAATCGAACTTTATGGGCCAAGTCGCGACACCTGTTCCTTGGTGCGCGAATTTATTTCGGCACGGAGTGCCGAGGCAGGCGGGAATGTTTGAGATCGCATTAAAATACATGTAAATTAATTATATCTTTGCGACATGGGCTTCGCATAGTTATTTCATCGCGATCAAAGTCAAAAAACAACTCAAAGAAACAAACAAATTGTTGTTATCGTCATTATTATTCGAAGTTTTTTGTGCCAACGAAGCCCATGTCAAGAACAAGTACAATAATAAAACGCGAAAACAACTTTGTCGGTTAGCCGCGCGATAAACGGCTGCCGACACGCGCGACGCCGTGACGTAGCCCGTGACGTACGGCCACCGGCCTATCACTCGCGCTAAATCTCATCTCGCGCCGATATTTTAAGTGGCGGCCAATGAAGTTTGGCGCCGCGTTGATTTTGCGAACCGAACTCGGAGGTTCAAACTTATTGGCAGCGAGAGAATAAAGAACCGCTATAAAAGGGCCCGCTCATGAGGAGCGCCCGACACTCGCTTACGCGTTGAATTATACCGCATATTTAGTTATACCGCTTTTCGATACCCGTTTTGTTTCGTACGACTACCGCTATTCTCTTCTTGAAACCGCTTATAACCAACCGCTATTCTATTTGTGAAACCGCCTATAACCGACCGCTTGTCTTTTTTAAGAACTTTTTGTATAATTTGTGATTGTGTTAATTATTTGGTATAATTTAAAAAAAACCGTAAATTGTACTCGCGAGATTTATTTTCCGCGAACCACAAGATCCTCGCACACTTTTTCAATCTCGCCTCGCTCTTGAACAAACTCATTTGAATTTCTCACGCTCGGAGGCAAATTGCCGAATAAGATGGCGGAGTCCATTTGGAAACGCTTTTGAGTCCTAAGAACAAAGGCGATCGGCAATCCAGATATATAGATCAGTGAGCTCTATCTATGGCCGTGTTCCGATATTCACTGCCAGTACTGAAAATCTATAGTATATGTGACACGTAAACTATAGATTTTCAGTACTGGCCGTGAATATCGGAACTCGGAACACGGCCTATATATAAAGCCTGTATCAGCCTACGCATTGAAGATTGAGGATTGAAATTTGACCAATCAGGACAAAGGAATTTTAGTCCCTTTTGTTCTGATTAGTCAAATCCAATCTTTAATCTTCGATCTTCAATTTTCAATGCGTAGTCTGATACGGGCATAAGGCTGTGTTCAGATTCTCCACCCGGGTGCACCCGATATTATAGTATATGTCACGTATACCATAATATCGAGTGCACCCGGGTGGAGAATTGGAACACACGGTAGGGACTTCCGCCTGCTTTCTCGGTGAGTGAGCATCGTTCTATGTGCTTTGGTGCTTGCATCATCAAAAGAATCCGCGAGTTACATTGTGGAACTTCATAAACGCCTACTTCTTGTGCTATTCATATTTGCTTACTGCCCGAGTGCGGCAAAGTATTTCTCTCTGTGCGCTGCTGGCCCACCGTGCCGGTCTTGCGTCGACACGTAAGTGCGCCTCGGCCATATTGTCTTTCCACGACACACACTGCGTAATAAATTTACGCACTTAGCACAACACATGCATTTTCGTTCAACCATGAAGGTCACAATTGATGAAACTCTTGATAAAATAACCCAGGAATCGCCTCTGTCTAAAGAGATATGTAGCAGCAACGTTGTTGCGGATAAGGTGCGCGATACAATATATCGAAACCGCAAGAGGAATCTTTCTTTCACTTTGAGAAGCCCGCTTCTCCCTAAAAGATCTCTGGATTCTCATAAAATAGAAGACTCTCGACTTTAAAATAGATACGGCTTAAACGTCAATCCTCCTTTCATTATTCACATCGAAAAAATTACCCACAGATTCCCTCTCTCCATCCAGGTGCGGGGCTCTGAGGCTATAGAAACCAACAATAACATTGATACAGGTACTGTTGACCTTGTTTATACTTCGTCTATTTCCAGCCAAAGATCGAACACCGGCTCCTACGGTATCATCGCGTTCGGTAAACGTATCAATAAACATATCGATAATTTCTCAGCCGCTTTTGACCTAAAAACAATAGGAATAAACAAATTTTCAATTACATTTACCGATGGCAATTCTGCCAACTAATTCTGTGATGCTTTTAATGAGAAATCTGACACAATTTTACCTAGAGAAACTTGGTTGGCCTATGTACCTAACTACAAGGTCATTAGATAGTTTGTTGTGAAGGGAGTCGATGATGACGACTCACCTGAAGACTTAATTAGTAATATCCGCCCTCCCCCGGACTGCGGGATTTTGTGGCACCCCCCTTTTGAAGCTCAGACTTAAAAAACCCAGCCAAATTCAAAATAGTGACAATATACTTCCACTGTCAAATACTCTGAATCTGACTCTTATATAATTCGTTTCAGAACAACCACAGTACCTCCCAGTGTCATTTATATGGGAAAAAAGCTCCATCTGGTCCCTTTTATCGAAAAGGTCTGAAGATGCCAGAAATGTCAAAAATTCGGACATGTTGCTAACGGACTCCGGATAAAAACGCAGTATGCCAGCGCTGCGGTAAGCTTGTCACTTCTCATAATAGTAACGGTAATGTTGATGAACCATGTGGGGTTGAAAAACCCTCTTGCGTCAACTGTATAAGACATAAATTGCCAGACTCTGATACGGAGCATGAAGCATCCTCCAACTCCTGTCCCGTATTTCAAAAGCAGAGAAAAAAAAGTTATGGCATACTATAACGTCTCACATCTAGAAGCCATCACAATGCTCGATAACACAAATATCCAACACCAGTTATACTTCTCCCTATTTCCTTCAAATAGGGTCCCTCTCCCTACTTTGGGAGAATACATCCCGTATGCCCTCCCTAAATCATATGCGGAGGCAGTCACTAGAAATAGAAAGTTAAACTTCCTTAACCCTACCCCAATGGCTAAGGAGAATAAAAAATTTTTTCCTAAAACAAACGATTTTCAACATCCCGCAAAGAATCGACTTTTTGACGCGACTCCTATTCATGAAAGTCAGGAAATCAATGCAACACAAAAGAATTATAATTACCTTCGAACTAAACCTAGCATCACTATCCCTACTGCTAGCTCTTTCAACTCACTTTTTGAATTGCCTACCATTCCTGATATTAACCACAATACGCATGTTCATACCGCGAAGAGTTTTTCTGCAGCTTCCCCTCCCTCGCTTCTTAGCATACGTAACCTCTCCCCATCACACACGGAAATTCTAAATAACTGGATCCAAGCATGTCAGAACAAATTCTCCTCAATCAAACCCATCCATACTGATATCCTAACGCAAATGGGAATTCTTCTCTTAACACCATTTAACGAATCATCTTCATAATTCTTATTGTATATAAAAATTAAAGTTGCTTAATGACCACCAATGTTTTGCAATGGAACTGTCGATCAATGAAGAGGAGAATTCCTGAATTCGC